TTTTATGGTAGTGTGGCTAGGGTCTGAGATAGAGAATAAAAAAAAACTTTGAAAATCCATTCACAACAACGGTGTTAGTAGCAAAAATACTTCAAAAATGTCATTGTACAAAAAAGTTGCAATTGACCCATATATATATATATTTGTGTTTTGTTCTTCTTCTTTTTCTAGTTTCAACAAACATCTGAACATTGTTTATTTTCTTCATCTGTTGTCGATGTATTTACTGAATTAGGGAGCATTTCAAAATGTATGCCGGTCGCTTGGCCGCTCTGCCGTTCAGCCGTTCGGTCGGTCGCAGGTCGTTCAGCCGCTCGGTCGGTCGCTCAGCCGCTCTGCTGCAGTGAAATTCTAATTTATTTTATTTTGTTTTATTTCGGTTCGTTTGATTGTATTGTGGATACATACATACATTGGCATATATATACTTCCAATGTATTCGTCTTTTTAATAGACATCATTATAAGAGCAGACATTTTTCTGTTTTTCTGCTTAAAGAATAAAGTCAGAAAAGAACAAATTTATATTTTCATCAAATGTTCATTTTTTATACGTTGAAAGAGTGAGTGTTTAAGGTAAAACTGTTTCGTATTGCACCAACTTCGCGAACTACAATTACACTAATTAGAGAAGATCCATTTTCTATTTTTATACTAGTTTAAAGTACACGAGTTGTACATAATACTGATCTATTTTTTAGAAAAATATCCTTTTTAGTCTTTGAGAAATATGGCTGTGAATATCGCTGATTATCCTCTAAAAAACCAAGTTTGCGAGGCAAGCAAAGGAAGTCTCTGCAAATCGTGCAAGAAAAAGCTTAGTTTTTAGAGGATAATCAGTGATATTCACAGCCATATTTCTGAAAGACTGAAAAGGATCCTTTTCTAGAAAAATAGATCAGTATCATGTACAACTCGTGTACTTTAAACTAGTATAAAAATAGAAAATGGATCTTCTCTAATTAGTGTAATTGTAGTTCGCGAAGTTGGTGCAATACGAAACAGTTTTACCTTGAACACTCACTCTTTCAACGTATAAAAAATGAACATTTGATGAAAATATAAATTTGTTCTTTTCTGACTTTATTCTTTAAGCAGAAAAACAGAAAAATGTCTGCTCTTATAATGATGTCTATTGAAAAGACGAATACATTGCAAGTATATATAACTCACCACTATATAAAGCACTGTCCACTTTCGAATTCAATTTTCTAAATATTGGAAGATTGATTGTTGCCGATTTTGGAAAGTTTAATTTTATGTAGATGTACTGACGCTACCTGATGAGATCTTTGACCAGACCGAAATCCGGATCGTGGTAGTCCTTTATATAACTCACCCTCACCCTCAAGACATATAGCCCTTTAATGCTGCTATAAATATCAAGGTTTTTACTTTAGCCCTTCTGACTTTATAAGCGAAACATGACCCTACGATAACTCGAAACCGTATCTAAAGGCTGTCAGACACATTCAGTGTAGGTCTTCTATCTGTCCGACGGCAAGAGCAAGCATCATCATTTTTTTGTCAATAAAAGTGCAATATCGGCTCAGTACTTCAGTTATTGTCTGACACGCAAATTTTTGTTAGCCATTCATGAATTGTTACCTATATTCTAAATAGCAGAATAAACATATTTACTTCTGATCAATACAAGAAGAAGAATACTTGCTGCATTAATATTTCTTTGCACATCTTTGATTCCGAATGAAATCAAATCAATCGCATAGAACAAAAGCTAACGATGTTCAGACTTTCAACTTCGTGAGTCAAAATCTAATCTGGAGCTTCTTCGCTCAACGGTTTCCAGCAAGACAGTGTTTACAAGTGTGACCATAAAATTCGTCACAAAGAAAAAATCTTTTTTTTGCTACAGTTTATGGTATTTTACAACAAGTGTGAAGAGTATTTGTGTGATGATGATACTATCGAGTATAAATCAGCGAAGTTTATTTCGTAGGGAAAATTTCATAAACAATGTAAGAAAACCTTAAACAAAACTGTATTTCGACCATCTCTTGAATAACGTACACACAAAATTCCCAATGAGAATGATGCTGATTCTTTGTTTGAGGCAACTGGTTCAGTTATTGTGTTATTTCAAGTACGGAAGGATTGGAATTGTCTTTTTTCTATTGCTGTTGGAAAATATATTTTTGTGAGCAACCTTCTTTGATCTTTGTCCACTTGAGCTCTCCTCTATTGCGTATATCTGCATTAGACATTCCTTCCAATATGTTGATCTTTTCTTTCCCACCTAGCCTGTCGATTAGTGGTTGCAGATCTCTAAGTACTAATTCTCGATCAATTTTGAACACGATATCTTTGAAACGATCTTGGGTTGCTGTAACATTAATTGTGGCTTTTGATTTTTCAATAATGTCTCGCATTTCTTTTAGTTTGTCTTCATTTGATATGGGATTTTGTCGCAAGTTCTGAAGTTGCTGATTGAGATTTTTGTACACTTCATGTTTTTCAGGTTTAGCTATTCTTGTCTGTATATCTTTATCAATTATTTTGCTATTGTTTTCATTTGCATTGATTAACACTTGCCTGATCCTGTCGATCCATGCTTCATTGTCTTTTGTTAGTTTCCGTGTTTTCTCGACGAATAATTGATCAATTTCCTCGCGATACTTAAGAAATTCCTTCTGTTTTTCAGGTTCGTCTTTCAGCAAATCCTCTATGTGCTTCTCGTAACCCGACTTGTACTTATCACCGCCATGATCCGGATCATTTTTGCGTTTCTTACCATCTGGACCAGTCACGATAATATTTGGATTCCAGACCACAGATTTTTGCAAAATCTGCAAATCCGGATCGAACTTATCGTTTTTAGTGATTTGATAATGCTCGTCTATTTTGGTTCTTGTTTCATGCATTTCTTTCAAAATAAACTGCCTCAGTTTCTCATTTCTAGAAGCGTTCAAATATTTTTCCATTTTGTCTTTGATTTCATTGTCATCCGAACCTTCGAAATCGTTTTTTAATATATCAACGATGCATTCCCATCCAATGACGTGATGATGAGTCGGAGTAAATGTAACACCGTCAATCACTTCCTGCTGCCCTGTCTGACTTTCAAATTTGTCAGGTCTACTACGTTTGTCTTTGTTCAACCATTCCTTGAGATTTTTCACATCCTGGTCACTTAGTTCTAACTTTAGAGTCTCTGGATTTTGTCGAAGACCAGTCATACTGTCGAAATGTGCTCTTAAATCAGTTCGATTTGTCCATCGGAACTCTTTTAACAACTGATCATCATTTTTCATTGCGCATGAAACGTTGTTTCTTAAGTTTTGAACAACATTTTGATCGTCAAGAATTTTCACCGCTTCGTCGAATGATTTGCCTTGAGAAATTTCATTAGCAACTAGTGCAACGTTATAATAACAATCGTTTTCCTTTCCATTGTTGGTTTCTAAACTTCTCGATTTACCATTGACAATGATTTCAGCGTGTTTGATCTCATCAACATTACCTCGAATAACAAGTTCAACAGCCACACCTTTCTTTTGCGTTAAAACACATCTTTGTTCATTGTCAACTATTTCTCCTTTCGTTACTGTACATCCCAATATTTCTGAAATTTTCTTTTGTTCGTGTAAACCAGCTGCTTTATCACCTCTGACATTTCGATAATGCTGTTTTAATACTGTTCGTCGTACATAAATGTTTCCATCTTTACCGCGGTATGTTTTCACTTTGTATATGGATAAATCGTAAACTTGTTGTAAAGTGCATCCATCTATATTAGCTGGTTGGATGTCTTTCGGATTGATACCCATATCCTTGAGATCTATCGGTTTTCCTTCAGCAATGAATATTTGCAACTCATCGGCAAATTGTGTTAGTGTATCGTTAGGATTCGATGCCGCATGAATTAATTCAAATCGATTTGTCAATTGTTCAATACGATCCGCACTAGCCAATGATTCAACTCCCTTACTTATCAGTTTATTAACAGCAAAATTAAGAACAGGTGCGATAAGACCGTGTTTTAATTTTTGATTGAACGTATCACTTAAACAAGTGGAAATTAGATCGATTTTATTCTTTTGATAATTTTCAAAGTGAACCGTTTGTGGTTCAGTTAGAGTATAGTCCTTGTTGGTTGTATTCAGTGATTTTCTGGCATTTTTTAAATCGTCGCGAAGTTTTTCAAGAAAACCATGAATCATTTGGGCCATTTCTTTAACATTAACCCCTAAATTGATCAAACTCGGAGCATACGACGTAAATACACGTTGTAAAAATCCTTTTCCACCGGAAGCAGTAACCAACGCTCTACCTAAACCTTGCATGACTGGACCACAAAGACTTGTAAGATTTCGGAGAAATTTTTCTTCGGGTAGATTTTGTAATTTTCGATTGATACATCGTTAATAATTGCTAATGATTGATCTTTTCCTTCACAAAGTCGAAATATTTCTTTCATTTCCGATGCAATTGTATTCCATTTTTCATTGATCGAATCTCGAATCGATTGAGTCAATTGTTTTTCGTAAAATTCAGATATATTCTCCAACATAGAATCAATGCCCATCGATGCTAATTCGGATAAACCAGTTTGAGCTAATGTTTTCACTATTTCTTTTCCAACATATTTGCTGATATTCGCTGTTTTCCCCAACTTTGTCGCTGCTGTATGTAGTTTTTTTGCACCAGTTAACTTTTGATAACCAAAAGCCTTTCGAACGCTTTCTAATTTCTTACTATTTTTCAAAAACGATACACCGACAAACACAACAGATGTTAACGCACTTGTTAGCATACTTTGTTTTTTATGTTGCCAATATTTTTCCCAACTGAAATCACCTGCAATGGCACATCGAACACCGAACAGAATATCATCACAACCTGTACTAATAAGAAATTCGCCAATCAATTGTCCAGCAACTGGAATAAACATTTTCGCCATGACGCCAGCAACAACTTGCACGACACCTAAGGCAATAACAGCAGCGATTTCGTACCATTTCGGTGGTTCCTTTTTCTCTTGTAATTGAAAAATAACATCGAATGCTAATTCAATGAATTCATCTAATGCCTCTGGAACGTGTTTTTTCTGATTGAGAAAATAATTTGTTTTGATTTCTAAATAACTTGCAATTGTTTTGTCCGTAGGTAATTTTTTAATTTCACCAACGGTTTGATCGATAATATTATAAACTGAATTAACCGCTTCTTCTAATTCGTTTTTCCATTCATCCTTCAAAAACCATCGAATTTCTCTTCTAATATCCTCGAGTTTCGTCTTCACTTCATCAGAATCAATCCAACCAATGTTCACACTCGGTGATTTGATCAATGAATTTGCTCGTAAATAATTCCATAGATAATCAATAGCCTCGTCCTGTGTTGTAAATAATTCAAAATTAGTTGAATCAACCGTGTCTCTCAATGCAAAACACGATATATCCGTATCAAATTCTTGTTCAATTAGAATTGCTCTAAGAAAATTCTTTCGAAATATTAAGTCGAATTGTTGAAATTCGTCGGTATAATATCGCTCGAAATCATAGAGATTTGCATAACAATAATCGTTTTTGATTTCTTTGTTCTTTCTTACAATTTTCTCTTTGATAACTGAATATTGATCGATTGATTCGATAAGCGATTTTCCTTGTAAAAATTCATAGAATTTATCGAGCTCATTTTCTGATAAATGTGTTTGATTTTTTAATTTGAATAAGCGTTTAATTTCATCAAAAAATTCCGTTTTCTTCCCTTTGAAAAGTTTTTCATTCGACATTTCTTTTAAACATTCAAATAAAGTACCTTTAAGATTGTCTTTTGCTGTTGGAAAAGATTTTTCCATCAGTTCTTCTTCGACGAACCGTTTTAAAATAAGTAATCGATCTTCTTCTTGAGTGGCGATTGGTTGAACAAAACCATTTTCCTGAATTAACTTGATAAAGTGCGGCAAACACGGTAAAAATATTTCCAATTCTATCAAATCATTTTTGAACATTTCATAACTCAACTCGTTTAAATGTCTACCGGGTTTCTTTCTTTCTTCTAATTTTTGTTTGAGATAAGAACATAATTTGTCCTTCGTCGTTTTATTATTAAATATCGACGGCAATTCTACTTGTTCTTTGAATTTGTATGAAATCCGTGTTGGTTTGATCAACTTTTTCTCTTGTAATTGTTTGAATAACTTCTTGGCCTTGTTTTCATCGCAAAGATATTTGACAGTTGTCAAATCTTTCCAGTCGATCGAAGTGCCATTGACATTGAATATTGTAGCAGAAAATATATTCCAAATTGTAAGTTTTTCTTTTACTTGTTTGTCATATTCATTTCCATAATTGGCAAAACCTAATTGTCGATTTTTTTCATCGATTTCGAACACAATTTGTGCTGCATTTTGAAGAAAACTCATTTCTTTGTCGATCGATAACTTGAGTTGATTTAAACTGCGTTTAAATTGGCGTTTACTCGAAATGCCTTGACCATAGTTGATGTTTTGTATACATGAACTTCGATAGTAATTGGCGAATGAATAAAATTTGTCTTTCATTGCTTCTTCATAACACATCGACGCTTTCGACCAATCCTCGTTGTCTCGATAATATTTTCCCAATTTGATCAGTTCAGCTGGTTCAATCATTAAGCATTTAAAAGCGTTTCGAGCCAAGTCGCGTTCAATTGACGATTGAAATTGATGAAATTGTTCGATGATTTTCTTCGTACCAATGATATTGATCATATTGATCTGTTCAGTCATCGAATCCAACCAGAATGCCCATCGATTTTTCAGACTATTCAATTGATATTGAACATATTCACTGCCATAGTAAAATCGACTCGAATTTGACAAGAATTTTTCTTCAATTTTTTGATACAATGTACCAAATCCAATGCAAGACACTTCACCATCATCGAAGCCGTGTAATAGATCTTCTTCGATTTTGATTTTCGGTAAATCGTGTGTTAAAAATGTCTCCAATCGTTCTTTTTCCTGAAGATTTCTCCATTGCTTCAATTGTTGAATTGATAGACCGAGCCGATTCAAGATGATATATTCACCCGTTCCTTTGTTCCCTTTTCGAGCTGTTCGACCGAAAGCTTGCATTTCAATTCGAATATTTGTTGGTAAATAGGTTACAATGACATGGAGACCACCATTGTCTTCTAATGTCCTCGACGTATCTAAATCAGTACCTCGACCAGCCAAGTTCGTCGCAATGATTACATCACCGGGATGTAATTGATCGATTTGAAATTTTTCATAGGCACTTTTATAGACTTTGGCATTGGGATATGAGTTGGCTAGGTATTCTTTTAAAATTAAAACACTTTTGACATTTTCCGAGATGATTAAAACTGCTCGTCGCCGGTCTCCATTGATTGATTTCAACTGTATTTCTCTATTCAACGCATTTTTGATTGCTTCAAGCCGCGTATTTTGGTCCGTATGAACACTGCCGGTCAGTTCTCGAAACAATTCCGATTTATATCTTGGCAATTCAAAAAACCGAAGTTGATAGACTTTGTTTAAAAGATTTTGCTCGTCGCTCGAGCCTAATGAACCCGTCAAACCGACGATGTTGTGTTTGTAGCGTTTGAAAAACGACATGTTTGACATGAAAACAGCTTTGAGTGATTCAGGTGTCAAGCGTCTTGTATGTTTCAATTGTAAAAATTGATGAACACCGTTACTCCATCGTGTTGATAACTGTTCAGTGCCCGTATCTTTATCCATCACCGTTATCTTCACTTCGGATTTCGATGAATTCTCTGAAGCATCCTTTGTGACAATGTAGGCATCATTGGGAATCATTTCCTTCACATGAAAGGCACTTCTGATCCATACAGACATTCGTCGTTTGACGAACATTTTCATATTGATATAATCACAATTGTTTGAATCATATTCAGGTATTTCGATGACTTTGTGTTCGATTTGTTCAAGAATGATTTCTGAAACGGCTTGAATCAAATCATCATCCATCAAAGTTTTATTTATTTGGTCAAATGTCGGCTGATTAACCGTTTGCCAAATTGAAATGAATATTTTTTCAAAAGTCTTCAATGTGTCGATATTGTGCGACAAATAAAGAACCATTCCGGCTTTGTCTAATAGCATTGAATCGACTTCATCAATGATCACAGTACAAACACTGTTCTCTGTTAATCGGTTACTAACGATATTTTGCGTTGGATCGTTTTTATGGAATTCAGTTAGTAGAATATCACGTTCAAAACACGAACATTCGCCGTAGATAATATCGACTGGTCCAAAATTATTGTAGTATCTTGATTTTCGAATCTCTTCCGCTGAACGTTGTCCATCGCCTTGTTCGCACAATGAATCACAATTGTTCGAAACTTGTAGATGAAACATTTGATAAAACAGACGAAATTCTTTCGCATCTCGAATCGCTAAAACACTCGAGCTTGTGATGATATCGACTCGATGGACACTCAACGCTTTGATTGCAGCCAAAGCTGCGACGATTACCGATTTACCTTCGCCCGTTGAAATTTGTCCTAAACATCCGACATTGGTTTTGTTTAAATCCGGATTTAAGTACAACCATAGAGCAATGATTTGTGTTTCTCGCAGACGAAATTTCTTGCCGGTAAACAGATGAATGCCTTGACTAACGATCAGGATTGCATTCTGGACGCTTTCTTTGTTTGATAACAATTGGTTTCCTTTCATTTTGGTCGCCCAGCGTGCAATATCAGTGTTATCCCAATCTCGAACTGGTTTCTTGATGTCATCGTCTAAGTGATGATTTAATTTCTTGAACAACGATTCTAAATCCTCGAGAATTTTTGGAGAATTCAAATAGTCTTTGATCGATTGATTCAAATTGTTTTTGTCCTGACGCATCAAATGAATTAATTCCTTTAGATCACGCATTTTCGATCGTTTTTCTTTCATATAATGTTCGATCTTCTTTTCCCATTCACTCATCTCCGTCGTTTCCATTATTTGACTGATTTTCAAGTCAAAATCCCATTCGTTATTGGAAATATTCATCAATAAATCGATCACTATTTGTGGAATGATTGATTCATCTTTGCACGTCATCTGAACCAAACCAATCAGTAGACGCATTTTCTCTTCGGAATACGATGTTTCAATCAATTCTAGATATTGAATGATTTGTATTACTTCATTTTCTCGAACCTTTCGATCCAGTTCTAGTTGTTCAATGATCCAAAATCGAGTTAGATATCGGAGAAGATTGTTCAAAGATTTGAGACGAATCTGTCCGATTATCAGTTGATCATTGAAATCCATTGATGTATTGTTTAAAGAACTGATTACTTTCTTGAGAATTTTGAATTTAATTAAATATTTATTGAAGAATTTCTCTAAATCATTCGGATGGATTAAATTGTTCGCTGGTTTCTTCAATTCTAAAGAGAATTGTATTCGTAGAAATTCGAAGAACATTTCCTTTTCGTTTGGTTTCAGATTTGGATTCAATTCGATTGATTTTATTGTATTGGAGATGGTGTTCAATGACGTTTGATATTGTTTGGCAATTTCGTTGTATTTGATTTCGATCGATTCATCTAGATGATCAAGATTTTCTACGATTAAATGATTTAAATCCAACTCGTCTAAATATCGATGAAATAAACTATTCAAATCGAATTGAATTTTCATCACATTTAAATACAAAAGCCAATTATCGATTTTTGAATTTTCGATCAAATCCAACGCTAATTGAAAATCATTGACATTCGAAATTAAATAGAAGAAATCCGATACTTTGTGCAACGGAATTTTTTTTGATTTCGATGAACTGAAGAATTTTCGTTTGAAAATTTCTGCCATTTTTTCAAAACGTTCGAATCCATTAAAAAAGTGTAAAGCATCAACGGAGCTTTTGATGTCGTGAATGGCTTTTATATCGTTGATGAATTGTATTGTTAAATGTTCTAAACTTGTTTGATAATCACCTATATGCGAAGTTTTTGTCGAATATTTTTGGATAAACTCAACGATATTCATGAGATCCTCGTTTTCTTTCACTTCCGTTGACCATTTATTTTTGATCGATTCGTCATCCTGTTGTTCGCCCATCGATTTTTCAATGAAATCGTATTGTTGTTGTAGAACATCAACATTCAATTCATAAATTTTGAGTAGATCGATTGTGAATTGATACACTTTGAAATCATCAATTTGTCGATTCCATTCGTCGACATCGGTTTCAGTGAGAATTTCCTCGACGTTCTTTGTGTTTGTTGAATTTCGGAATGTTTGGTAATCAGTTGATTTGTCTGATTGTTGTTCGTAGATGGATTTGAAATAATCCTCAATCAGCTTCGTTTTGATTTTCTCGAAATATTGAATTAATTTTATCCTGTTTTCCCATTTCTCTTCTTGTCGAATGACGTCCTCTGAAATATGTTTCAATGCACGAATTTGATCTTCGAGATTGATTTTGATCTTCGCTTTGTCTTCCTTTCTAAGTTCTGGTAGTTGTTCTTCAATGAGCGATGCATCATTTGCATGCGTTGATTCCGTTTCTTTATCGAATTGGACTTTTTCGGTGAAAATTTTCTCGTTGATAGTTTGAAAAATCTCGTTTGCGAGTTTTGTGATCGATTGATTATCGTCTTTGAACATCGATTGTTGTAATTTTTTCGACCAATAATGGCGCATCTGATCGGCTGATATTGATTCGACTTGATTTTCGCTTTGTAAATAATTCAATTCTTGTTGAAGTTGATTGTCATGAGTTCGTAAATAGTAGAATGTTTCAAATTGACAAAATTCTTTGTATTCTTTAACTCTTGCATCTAAAATTCTTTGTATTTTGTCAATTGATAAATGATCCAGTTTCATTTTAAATTTTTTCATCGATGAAGAGAATCGTTGAATTGCTTGGTCGATGGTTTGCCGTCTGCTTTTCGGTTGATATTCATGTAATCTCCAGCTGAAATATTTGAATAGTTTTGCGTAACTTTGACAAAATTTATCGAAAACAGATTTATCTTCGAAGTAGCTGATCGATATTTCAAATAAAATTGATAGTTCATCTAGAATCATTTCACTATTCTCAATGGTATAATTAGCTCTCAATATATTTGAAATTTTGCTTTGAATTTCCGTTGTCCATTCAATAGGCACAACGATTTTATATTGACTTGAATTTAATTGTTGATTGATTTCCTTATTCAAATATTGGTGCATTTTATTCGTAAACTGTTTTTTATTTGAATTAGTCTGCAGTTCTTTCATCTTGGTTAATAAACCATTGAGAATACTTTGTGGATCTTCGTTCGATAATTGCAGTAATTTTTCAATATTTAAATGTAAATAGATTTTTTCTCGTTCTTTGTTCAATAAATCACTCATCGATATATTTGACCAAAATAAATCGATTATTTCTTGCATTAAATGATTAATTTGTTTTCGTTTCTCTTTGTATTTGTCTAATTGTTGATTGTATCTGTTCATCGCTTCAGTTTCGATTCGTTCGATAATCCAACTTAAATAATCTTTTTTCCTTGAAAGAGATTTTTCGTTGATCTTCACTTTCTTTTCAATTTTAGATAGAAATTCCAAATTGAATTCTTCGTGATTTATTCGGAGATTCAATAAGATTTTCTTCATTGTCGATTCATAATGCAACGGATCAAATGATTGTTGCTGTTTGAGAACATTGCTCAGTAAATCAAAGATCAACGTATGATTGATCGTTTGATTTTTATTCAAATGATTGTTGAGCTCAATGAATAGATCCTTGATCGGACAATTTTTGACGAAATCAATATTTTGAACAAAAATTCGAGCTTTGAATTGTAAAATTTTCAGTTGATTTTCAAAAGTTTGAAGAGAAATAAAAGGTCGTTGGATGAATGATTTGTTTAACGTTTGATAGCAATCGATCAGATCTTTTAGTTGAAATTGATTGCATTCGAATATTGTTTGAATTTCATCGAAAATTCGATGCAATTGATTTTTTTCCAATGTGATTGACTGAGGGCCTTTATTTTGACGATGATTTATTAAATATTTCCAAGTGACATTTAAAATTCGATTCTTTTGTTCGACATAAAACATCAGACAAGTGAAACCAACTTTGATCTTCTTGATTAGATTCTCATATTGTTCGTTAATTAAAATAATCAATGGTTCAAATAATTCTTTCAATTCGTCGTTCTTGATTTTCTCGAATTGATTTCGAAAATATTCGTCGAAGAGAACTAAAAGATCAAAATTGAGTTTGGAATTTTTCAGAATTAGCTCAAATGAGGACAAATAATCATTGACAATATTGATTGGAATTTTGTCCACATTATTCATAATTCGCTTGAAAAAGATTTCGACCAAAATCTCTTCATCGAATAAAAATTGGTTCTTATAGATCAAGCCATTTTTCGATTTGATTAATGAATAAAGTTCATCGTCGTCATCGGATGCAGTATTGTCATTGATTTGTCGCTTTAATAAATCGAACAGAACTTTATTCTCATCTTCATTGACAATGAAATAGTCGATTTTCTTGCCGATTAATGTACGATACTTCACTTGAAATTTCTTAGCATCATGTTGAGCAAATAGAATTTCATCTTGAAAGTGATCATTAGTTCTTAACTCGTCAGTAGATACTTTTTTCAATGGACATTTTTCTAAATTTTGATAGCTTGTTTTCAGTTTGTTCAAGATTTGTTTGATATGATCGTCCGTTCCGTTATAGTTGATATTCCTCACACCACTGATTGTAATCAAGGAATATTTTTCTAAGTAATCAAGAAAGAATTGAGACATTTTCATGAACTTGTTCAGATCAGCACTGAATTGGTCTCTGTGTCTCCCATTAAACGTCGATTTGTCGTTGAATTCATCGAGCAAATTGTTATACAGTTGATAGCGACTGATGATGTTCGATGGCTTGACTGAATGGACATAGAATTCATTGAAGTTAGTAATCGACGGCAACGATTGGAAATGAGATCCTGAAATAATGATTGAGTCGTTTTCTGTAGATCAGATTTGATTTTGATATTACACTCAAACGAATTGATCACTTTGAATATCTCTTCTTTTCGACGATCGAAGATTTTCACTAGTCGATGAAAAAAATATTCTTTGAGAAATTGATTATTTTTCAAGATTATTTCGTAGAGAATGACGTTTTCGAGATCAGTTGTTTTATTTACTTTGCTCGATAAATCTTTTGAAAGATCATTGATTGAACCTTCGAATTCACCATTGAAGATTTTTGTCAACAAGTCATCGAAGATCGATAAACATCGATAGAAATCAAGAAAAGCATTTTGTTTGTTCTTCGATAACAAATTTTCAATAATTTTGTTCAAGATTTCGAATGGATCCGATGTTGTTAAATCTGATTGTTTGATCGAGTCTAATGATGTCAAAGTGAAATCGTCGGGAAATTTCTCTTCGATTTCCAAGGTTATCTTGAGATTATTTAAAATAGGTGACAGTCTCAATGACCAGAATTCAGGCAATTGAGAATCCAAAATCAACTTGATTTCATTGTCGATGTATTCTTTAAATTTCGGCAGTAGATCTTTGTTCAGTTCAGTCAATTTTTCCTCGAACACTTCTTCAAATTTCGTCAGCAGATCTTTTTTCAATTTAGTTAATATTTCCTCACACTCTTCTTTAAATTTCATTAGTAGATCTTTGTGCAAATCAGTTAATTTTTTCTCGTACACTTCTTTAAATTTCGCCAATACATCTTTGTTCAATTCAGTTAATTTTTTCTCGTACACTTCTTTAAATTCCGTCAGTAGATCTTTGTCCTGTTCAGTTACTTTTTCCTCGCACACTTCTTTAAATTTTACCAGTAAATCTTCATTCAGTTCAGTTAGTTTTTTCTCCAACACTTCTTTAAATTTCATCAGTAAATATTTGTTCAATTCAGTTAATTTTTCCTGGAACATTTCTCTAGATTTTTCGAATGATTGAATTTGTTTGAATGAATATTTGGTAAAACCATGATTGAGTTGAACTTGTTCATAAATCATTTGATAGGTTCGTTTATCTTCTTCTTTGGATAAAACGATTTCTTGATCGTATTCCAACTTCGGTAAGATTTCAACTAACTTTTCTTCCAATAGTCGATTTAGTATTTCACCATGATTTTGATCACGAAAATAGATCTGAAATGTGTTTTCTGTTTCTTTGAATATGATAATTTGATAGCCATTTTCCACTTTCATTCGATCGGAATAATTCATTGGTCTTGTGATCAATCGAATTTGACAGACATTCTTATTGTAATCGATTTCAATCGGATTCTCTGGCATTTTCTCGTTCTTTTTTATCAACAAAATTTCTTCCTATCTCAATTCATCGTATAATTTTTTCAAATTCTTCGTCAAATCATCGACGTTTAGTTGTGTCGAGATGTCAATATCGTTCAAATATCGAATATTCGTTCGTAAATCAGCACTTTTGTATAATTGATAAACAATATTCTGACAACGTTCTTGGTTAAAAATCAACTTATTAGAATTCGTTCTGATTTCCTGTTTTTCTTCTTTTAAAAATAAATTCATTTTGTACAAAAATTTCTTTTTTTTGTCTTCTTTAAAAAAATCAGTGTTGAGGTTTCTGATATTTTCTAAATAACGATGAAATTTGTTCAGTAAAATTCGAATTTGATCTTTGAATTCTTGTCTTAAATATAAATTGTTAATGAATTGTTGAACGTTCTCGTATTGATTGATTTTAAGAGTAGCAGTCGGTTGACAACAGTTCTTAAATAAATCAAAAATATCTGATTTACGATTTTTTCGAATATAATTCAACATTCGAATTTCTTGATCGAAGTCGTTTTGCTTATGTTGAAAGAAGATTTGAATTTTGTCGAGACATTTTTGAAACTCATTGAATTGTTTTTCTTTGAACAAGATAACGGATTTTAAATCATTGAATAGCGATGTTAAATGATGAAGTTGAATCGAATTCAAAATTCGTTTCATCGTTCGAAACAAATGTCCAGAATTGAAATCGGTTCGAATGAAAAGCACATTTTCAGATAGAAATTCAATAAATTTCTTCAGTTTGGTCTGACATAGAAAATGGAATTGTTTCTTTTGAAAAATCGAAGACAAAGAATTGAGCATTCGAACGATTAATTCAAGATTTTTTTCTTTCGAATCGAGAAACTCGATGATTAACTCTTCAATCGGATGAATTTCGATTATTTGTTGTTCGTTACGTTGATGATAAATCGGTGAACATTGATGGAGTTCAGCTTGTTTGAATTTGCTCTTTTTGTTGATTTTTTCCGATAAAAATCCATCAGCGACGAGTTCCGAATCGTTCGATGAATCAACAGATGAAGAAATTTCTTTGATGAAATCATCGATGTTAAAGAATTCATCTCGATCGATGATATTCAAAGAAAATATTTCATCAAATCCCGACAATTTTCTTTTGATGATTTCTTCATTTCCGAATTCTAAACATGAATTTTCGATAAATTCTTCAATGTTCAATTGACTCAATTGATTTTTCATTCGAATGATCATGCGTTTCTTTCGTTTCAGTTGTTTTAATTCTTCGAAATATTCATTTAATAGAAATGGTTCATATCGTTTGGTGATTGGATCATAGGATAGACGTTGAAAATTGTCGCTTAACGACGAGAAATTCTGATTAAACAAAGAATTTGATTCCGATTCGTTTTTGAATAATTGTTCTAAATCGATTTGATTTTCATTCGATTTCATACTGAGAAATGTTGCACTTAAATTGTCGATATCAATGCGGAAAAAAATATGTTTTCCTTTGGATTTCAATGATTTGATTTCATGTCTGATTTTATCCAAATCTTTATTTAATTGAACTCGGAAATCTTGGTTTTTTTGTTTATATTGACGTTGTAAATCTGTAATAATATTTAACTTTTGGGGCTGAATTATTTCTTGTTTTGAATCATCGAATTTCAATCTAGTTTGAATCAATAATTTGTCATAGTGATTCTTCGAATCCATTTCACATGTTTTCAAATTTGTGCTTTCCACTTTGCTTTTCATTTTGATTGCATTTTCAGCCAATGCTTGTTGAGCTATTTGATGCGCATGTTCTAGCATGGAATCTGATAAAGCATGTGTTTTCACTCTCGACTGACGTTCATCCAGCATATCATTCATTTGATCTTTGAACAAATTCATTGAATTTGAAAGACTATTCGATATTTCATTATGACGATGAATTATTTCATTCAATTCACTTTTCATTTTCTCTTCACTTAATTGATTTTTCTTTTCACGTTTGTTACGAGTTTTGCCCGATTCCAGTTGCTCATTAGCCGTTTTTCCAGCACCGTGGTTGATTCCATCGGGTTTCTTCGACGGTTCATCACATGTGAAATCAACAGAAACTTTGAGCCAGCCCATATCAGCACCTCTCCAATTGATAGATCCTCGAACTGTCACAGCGCTTCCGAATCCATGAAGTCGGTATTGAAGAAAATCGTATCCATCTCGTCCACGTGTACCACCTTTTCCACCTTGACCGGGTTTTCCATCTTCACCATTGATATTTGATCTGTCAATTGATTCAATCAAAGAAGTAAACGCATCAGTAATATTCGTTTGATTTTCTTCAATATAAACAAGTCCGGCATGTCCACCAAATCCACCTAGACCAGCATTTCCCCCAACACCACCATTTCCTCCTCGAGCGCCTTCTTTTCCCCAGCATACACTATAACCTTTAATTAAAGGAGGAAGTTGTGTTTCAGTGGCGTTCTCACCGTCTGTACCATTTGATCCATTACCGGCATTCCCTCCGTTTCCACCTTTCCCGCCAGCACCACCTGATGTGATCAATTTTTCTAGATTTTCTTTGCCCTTGAATAGACTTTTGGCAATTAAATAAATATGTCCACCATTGTGTCCGGCTTCTCCGTTTCCACCTGGTAAACCATCGAGACCATCTTCATTCGGTCTTGTTGTATGAGGTTGATGTTGAGCATCTGTACCATCTTGACCCTTTCTACCGCTAACGTCCAACGTTATCTTATTATTAGAAGCATCTTTGACAAAATGAATCGTATTTGAAATAAAAATTAAATTAACTCCGTGCCAATAATCGTTGATCAATGAATGATCGATAAATACATTTGTTGCATAAAATTTCATTTCTTTAATCATCTTCGATTTGTTGAATTTCTTTTCTAAATCAACAATTAAATCACTGAGAATAATGTTAAAACTTTCAACGATGACAGTGTTCCGATTAATTTGTATTTTCGGTTTCGCGAGAATTTCTTCTATCATCAAGAAAATCTGATAAACAATGTCATTTTGCTTTGGCTCTTGTAAATATTCATAAAATTGCACTTTTGTCTCCGAATCTTTGAATTGTAAATCAATGTTAAGACATTCGTTCGAAATTAACTTTTGAATTTTATCGACAAATTTGTATTTCGACGAGATAATTTTATTAATTTTTTCTCGTATCCTTGAATTTGACGAAACATTTTCGTACTGACTTAAAGATCGTAAAATTTCTTCTTTCAATCGATGAATTAAATTGACAATTTTTTGTTGATTTTGATTTTGTTCAATTATATCATCGATCAGTTCTAATGCTGATCGATGTTTTTCTTCTTCTTCTTCTCGATGTTCTTCGATCGCTATCAGAAATAATTGTTTGAAATGATTTAACGTCTCTTCTAGATCAATGTGATATTGAAAATCAGCGATAGATGACCAAAAATCAAAACAGTTTTTATTGTAATCATCGCTTGTCAAATAATAAACAATATTTTCAGTGAAGATTTTCATTGTTTCACAATTAATCATCGATTTGATAAACCAATCAATAGTTTTATTTTCGTTCTTGTCGATTAAAATATTTTTCCCGATTTCTTCGTTTAAAAATTTCGAACAAACACTTTTCAGATCTTTCTTTGCATCGTAAGTTGTGACTAAATTCACTAAAAACATTTTGTAATTGATTTGTTTGATCGTTTGATAACGGTTCGTTTCGCTATGACGACGTAAAATAATCGGTATTCGTTTATCGTCAAACGAATTGATGTTTTTATTTATAAGTAAACATTGAAATTTGGTATGAAATTTGTCATTGAAAATATCGGTTAGTGTCTCGTGATCGTCGACTGAAATTTCTTTCAACATCTTTTGTAACTCCTTAAATGTCTGAGTTAAACTATGCTCAACATTATCAGTTAGAAATTGATCAATATCGTTCGCATCTTCAATTAAATGATAGAATAAACAATCGATTATGGAATTTCGGTTTGATGTATTTGAAAACCATTGAAATCCATTGATCAACGATAGTTGCAAATGGGATTGAAATTTGATGATCAAATTGCAGATTTGGATCAGATTCAATTGATTCTTTTCCATAAAATTTAAAGGACGCTTCTCTAACAATGATAATTCTGATTTGAGTTGGTTGATTTTGTCAAATATTGATTTGTTAATTTTTTCATTATATTTTCGTTTGGCCAAATCGATATAATTCATCGATGCTCGGAGATTTCCTCGTTGTTTATTTAAATACGATAAACGATAATAAATCATTGGATTGTGATCAGAATTTTTTGTTTGATGATTCAAAATTCCTCGAAGTTCTAATTCTTCTAAATAGAAAAGATGATTTTTTCGATAGATATTTGCACGTTCGAATTTCAGTTGAAGTATTTCTTTATTCACATTATCATTTGGAAAGCTTTGAAATTCTTCAATGGCTCGCGATATTTCACAAATTCGTTGAAAATCGTTCGAAGTGATTTGAATGAAGTTGAGTCGTATTTGCGGTAGTAATTTTCGAAATGTTTTATCTAATTTTTCATATTCAAGTTCATTGGATAATTGCAGTTTTTGATACAATCGAATTAAATCGAGAGAATTTGTTTCTTGATTTATAATTTTCTCATTGAAATTCTCAATAATCTGTCGAAAATCAAAATTGGATAATTGATATTTTAATTTCAATGATTTATTCTTATCATATTTGATATAATTCATATTCAGTTTTCCATATTTTAATAAATTAATCAATTGTTCTTCATTGTTACATTTCAATCGATAGGAATATTCGCTTTGAACAAGTTGTAAATACAATGATGGATGTTGATGGTTGTTTATTTTAATTTGAATAGTTTTATTCAGAAAATCCGTTGGTTTGTTGACGCTCGATTTGCGTTTTTTTTTCTTCTTATTGATTAAAATTCGAAATAAATCGAGAAGTGGCGAATCAGATGTGATCAAATGATGAAAACTCGAGTGTATGTGACAGATAGTCGAACACTCATTTAGTTCATAAAATTTCAATAATTTTTGATATTGCCCTGGAACAAAATAAGGATTGATAGTTAAAACTCGATCATAGAGATCGATTGATGAATCATCGTTAGATTCGAATGCAACCTTAAACAGCTGAATAAAATTCTTGTCATGACACTTGACATTAGTCTCATTGCTTTCTATTTTCTCAATTTGAAGGAAATTGTAGGTTGCCAAATTGAAAAAATTGAATTTGTCGAGACAGTCAAAACTGTATTGATCAGTCATCTGTAAATAAATCAATCCTTTCAATTCATATTTTGATCGTAGATTCGTGTTCAGATTTAATCTTTCTGTTGAATCAAGTCGAGATTGATCGATTGCAATCGATTTGTTTAAACATTCGAGCGACTTTTTCAAATAGGCATTTAAACGTGGTTGTTTATCCTGATAAATGTAACTGATTTCGAACAGATGTTGACTTTTGATCAATGAATCTGTCATCGAGAAAACATAATTTTCATATTGTGAATAATCATCGGGATCATTCGTTGACAACCATTTCTTTTTTAATCTTGAGGGTTCATCGTCGTTTTCCATGGAAAATTCGCTCACTTTATAATCATTGACATCTTCGATATGAACGATCAATTTGTCCTTCCAAGTTTGACCACGAAATTGTCGAATAAAAGTCTGTTTTCTTTGTCGTTCTGAATCGTGAATCGATTTCAAATGTTCTTCGTTGATTTGTCGGATTTGATCGACTTTGATTCTAATACGACTGCTTGCGTTGTTTTCTTCTCGATCATAGAGCGTTAATAGATGATCTCGAACAAAAACTAAAGATGATTCCTTAAAATCGACTAAATAATCGTTCGATTTTTTAATATTTTTCTTGAATAATCGAAACAGTAAAATTAGAATTTTGTTTTCTTCAATTGCTTGCTCAGTGGAAGATGAATCACGATCTGTCAGTGATGTTGACTTTTTAACGAATTTTTCAAAATTTTCTATATTGTTTAAATCAAGAATTTTGATTAAGAAATCATAGATCAAGTTCCATTGTTCAATATCTTCGAACAAATTATATTTTTCATCCCTCGAATAGGCTTGAAGATACTTTTCCGATTTCGGAATATAATGAATCATTTCAGTCAGAAGTAATTTGAATCCATTCTGTTCATACTGAACTAAGAATTGTTTGAAATAATGTTTGAATTGCAAATCATTTTTTAATTTCTCATGAAAGATCGATCGTGCTTGATTAATGCTATTTTTCGATTGAATACAATATTGTGCGAATTTCTTTAATTCGAATTGGAAATTGTTCATTTTCCGATAATTCTCCCAATCAGCGTCGTAGTTCGATTTCATAGTTTCAATTAACTCTTGAAATTTCGTTTTGTAACGTTTGTAAACGATATTTTGCAATTTGTTGAGTTTCTCGTTCAACATGTGTGAATAATATGCCAGTTGAATATTCATTTTATTATCATCATTCAAAATTGTCGATTCATTGTTGAGTTTTTCGGTGAAATATTGATAATGAGCGGCGATATTCAATGTCGGCATCTCGTTGTTGTGATTGATCTTTGGCTCGATTCTACTTACAGCTGCTTCCAATTGATTCAACATCGAACCGAGAACAGGCAAACGTTCTTCATCGATATTCAACGATCTCAATGAGTTTAATCTTTCATTGAGAATTCGAAAATGATCACCAATCGATTGTTCTAGTTTGATCGCTTGTTCGTTTTCATTGGTGTTGATCTGAGATGCGACAATATTCGCATAATTGCCTATAGAAATCGATTGATCCTGATCGTTTTGCTGACGTTGAATTCGGTTCAACCTATCTGAGAGTTCGAACAGATTTCTTCCAACTTGATTTCATTTTCCAATGAATCTGTTTGGTTATTGTCGACACCACGACATTCATCACGTAATCTTACAAAATGTTCTCCAGGTGAAATCCATTGAGATTGACCATTTTCACTTCGTTCGTCTTTATTCAACTGTCGCGAAGCCATATTACACACAATTCTGAAAATGTCAAGCGAAATTTAATCTAAAAAAACTACAAATGATTATTCTAAATTAAATGAAAAATAAGTGTTATTGTCGGGTACAAAGGAAACTACTACAAAATATTTTCGTCAATAAAACGTTTTAAATCGTCTTTCTGCAAATTATTGATATCAATGTGTTGGATTAAACGCAAGAATAATGGCCATGTTAAGCCGCGTTTTGATGTTGATTTAACATTTTCATAAAAGTATTGGGCCGTCTCGTGAAGTATTCGAGCTTTTTGGTCAAGTTTGATTTCAGTAATTTCTAGAAATTCTTTTTTGAATCGACAAATTTCCGAATAAGAACCTTTTTCATCTTGTCGAGCAGTTCGACCCAGCATTTGTATGTAAATATTCTCACGTTCGGGATAATAGGTGAGAACTAAATGTAAACCTTTTTCGATATTTTTATCAACTTTAATATCGGCGCCACGTGCTATAATTTGTGTTGCAAGAGTGGTCGTATCTAACTTGCCAATTTTATGTATATTTTCCTTGATGTCATTTTCGGATTTGATTAAAAGAATAGTTGAACCTCGAAGAAATGAATCTTGTGCCTTCAATAAAGTTTCATGAATACAATCGAAATCCGATTTGTCTTCGTTGTTCTTTTTAGATGAATCAGCAAATATTAATAATGGCTGTTCTTTACACCGTCTTTCAATTTCATCGTAAATCGCTTGGAGAAAATTGTATTGGTTTTCGATGATTTTACCTGGACGGTTTGCGAAAATTCGATTATTGTCCAAATTCGATCCGCCGAAAAAGGGTAGAATTTTATTAAAACGTGATTTTTTAGTTTCGAATAATGTTTGGAATTTTTTCATTCCATCATCGGTGATACTTCCCGAAAAGCCGATTACTTGTTTGAATTTCGAATAAAATGTTAGGGCATCGAAATAAAAATGAACGAAATTTGCTTTTGATGTCGCTAAAGTTGGGAGAAACGGGGCGGGTAAATAAAATTCTTTATCGAAGAAATGCAATTCTTTGTAAGGCCTATATTGTGTTTGTTGTCGAGTTATCCAATTTTCATCTTCTTTTATCTTGTCTTCTAATATTTTTTTATACCATCGATCGAATGTATACGGAAACCGATCTTTGACTTTCTTAATAAAAGTAATCAAATCTTTGTCGAATAAATTTTCAATATTGTGAACTGAACGATTGAAATCAAAATATGCGACATATTGAATGATTTCATCCAAATCCAAAGTCAAACTGTCGAATTCGTCCATAATCAGAACAGCATTGGAAACGTCGGGCAGATGAATCGATGACGCCACGGTCAAGGTTTTATAGGCTTCACGTCTGATTAACTCAAAGTATGTTGTTAAATTGAAATAAATCACATCTTGATCACGGAAATTTTTCGTCGAACTTCGACTGGAACAATACTTCGATTTTATATTGAAATATTCGTAATACTTGATATAATTTTCGTAGTCTCGCTCCGCTAAATGATCATAACAAGTGACAATAAATATTTGTTGTCTTGGCCGATTGTTGTTTCGATTGAGTTCAATGATTTTTCGTGCCGTTTCAGCTATGATCAATGATTTACCTTGACCAGTACCGATTTGAATGAACAAATTCTCGTTATTCTTCTTTGGATCTTCAAGATAATCGTAGATCAACGATAATGCGCCGACTTGATTGTGTTGAACATATTTAATATTAATTGATTCGTAAGCGTTCATATTGTCATGAAGTTCCTTTTTAACTAAATCTCGTTTCGCTTTCACTTCGTCGATTGACGTCATCGTCATCGTTGATATGACGTCATCTTTGATATGTGTATTTAACTTTTCGAACCAGTCATCAAATTCGTTTTCCGAATATTTATGATAACAATATAGGAAATATACTTCGTCGTTCAGTTTACTCGTATTGTCCACCCATTCGCGTAAGCTATTTGTCTCTCGCCGTTTCAGAACAATTTGAAATGTATTGAATATTTCGTCTTTCGAACTAGACTTAACAATACGTTCAATATGTTCTAATCGATAATTGACAAAATTATCGATAATTATTCTGGCATAATTGTTTCTTTCTTTTAAACTTTCTTCATTTCTTCCACTGAAACCATTTAAAATATGTTCGATCGATTTTTCACGAAGTTCTCCATAAATTCCAATCGAATTATCAGTATTATAGAATTGAATTAATCGTTGGACTGATAAAGAGAGTTTTTTAAATTCTTGAAGAAAATCATTTTGATTCTTTAGAAATTCTTGTCTGTCACTGTTCGATGAACATGTAAAGACTAGGAATAATATTGACATAATAGTTTTCAGATTTTCTTCTTCATTTTTATTGTCTCCGGTGTTGCTGTGAGCATCTTTATTCTTATCATCATCCAAAAGTTTAGCCGAGAGATAATACGGAATACTAAAACCTGGAATTAATTCCGTCTTAACATCAAATTTCTGTTCTAAATCATTCAATTTCTTAATGAATAGATTAAAATACCGATTGGAGTCGTATAATTTGTTTTTAATAAGGTCATCATCTTTGATCAGATTTTTCAAGAGATGTATATTGAATGATTTGGCCAATCGAAAATAAATTTCACTTTCATTACGAGTATTCTGAAAAAACATTTCCAACGTTTTTACTTTAACATTCAACTCTCCTGGATCGGTTTTATGTGCATTTAAATACGAAAGAATGTCTCTCGTACATTGACAACGCCATTGAAATGTTTCAATATAAATCATGGTCATTAAGATTCCGATCAGATCTATTAAATGTTGATCAATTTCTGCATTGTAAACTTGTTGAAAATCGGTTTTCAATTGCCTGATTTGTTCTCGATGTTCATCTTCTTCCATTTTTTTACCTTCCTCATCTTCACACATGTGGATATAGAACAAAAGTTGATAGAATACAGGATAACCTTGAACATCGTCCAGACATGGACGTGTTAAAAATTTGAAATAAGAGTAATTAAAAACATGTTTCACATCAGTCATTTCACCAGGGAAATTCAAATTTCCAATGCATTGTCCATAAATATCAGTTAATAATTGAAATGTTCCGACTGCATTCTTTTCATCAATAATCGATTCTTTGAATTTCTTTAACAGGCTTGGTTTGACCGATAAAATATGTGAAAATAAGAGAGAAAATTTTTTCTTCAACATATCCAGAAGTTTCAATGATCTCGGAGGAAAACTATTCATTCTATTTTTTGCTGCACTCGAATATAAATAAATGCCTTTGTCATAAATTGATTTCATCACTAAATTTACTAATGCATAATCGTCGAATATGAGCACATGTAAATCTTTGAAATTTTTATCATCTAACTGAAATATCAAAGTACTGATTGGTTCAATGCATTTTTGATCACTTGGTTTCATCTTGGGTAGTTTTAATTTATGGAAGATCATGAATATTAAATCATTATAGAATTTAGAATTATTCGCGACACTGATGTGAACCATTGGATTTTCAGCCAAATGTTCTAATAAAATTTCAGTTGAATAACCACGATCAGAAACGGTTTTGCTTAAAAGTGTCGAACAATAACGATTGATGGACTCATTGCTTAATAATTTTGACTGTAGATCTTCTAATTTCTGACGATATTTATGATCATCAAATGGATTTCCCAGTGATTCTCTCACATATGATGCGTATTTAACAAAGTAATCATAGAATTCTTCCACAATGGCTAATTTGACGTTGTTGTTTATCGATTGATTTTGATCGTCGCAGATGAAATTTGACATTTTCTCTTCAACGGCTCTAATAATTAATTGACCAATCTTATTTTTCTCCGTGTTTTTCTCAGCCTTTTTCTTAATTTTTGCATTAATATCTTTTAATGTTTGGACGTAATTTCGGATTATTTTATAATCTTCTCTGATGGCTGATACACAATCATCAAGAACTAAAATGATACCACAGTGTTGCTTTGATTCTTCCACATTTTCTTCAATTAACTTTTTAAATAGCGTTAATTGATGTAAAAAACTTTTTTCTTCATCGATGTTTTTACCTCGTTTACCATATTTAACGATAACAGTTGATAATTTAGTAAATAACAGTTTCACATATTCGATGTTTCTAATTATTCGCTTTACTTTTTCTTTTCTACTGTAATTATCACAAAGTAAGTTTTCAATCTCTTTCACTACAGTTAATGTTTCGCTCATTGGTGCTGATGATTGTGATATTGTGATCTAAATCTCCAAAATACTGCAAATAAGAATATCGTTTTGGAAAGCAATAAAGCAACTTCACGATTTATTATTCATCTATCTGTGATTTATTAACATTAGAGCCGTATCAAATAAGGAATATCTCTATCTTTTCACTTGTCGGCAAATGTGAGCAAATGGCGAGGCATTTGCTCACAGTTGCCGCCAAGTGTAAAGATAGGGAGATTCCGTTTTTGGTTCAGGGCTATTTTAAAAAGTCTATAAAAAAGAAAGAATGTACGCAGTTCTTTATCAATTTAGAAAACTCTAAAAACCTATATATCTTTTATCGTACTTACATACACGAAAATTGAAACATGAGTTTAAGCGAACACTGTAATTCTTTAATTCTTTTGCTTGATCCAGTGGATCGGCATGTCAGTGATGAACGAATGCGTATATTACAGTGTAGTGATATTAATGAATTTGGTAATGTTATACAGCAAAATAAACATAGGAAATTACTGGTGTTTATACAAGAAGGACAAGAAATGTCGTACGACAATCGCCGATATATCCATTCAATGTATGTTTATTCAAATAATATCATTCCATTATCATTAAATCACAATGAATCTGTGTTTCAGAGGCAGATTTATTGTTTTATTTAATACTAACTCAAATGGAAATCGTCGTCAAAGTAGGCATGCACAAGTTAAAAACTGCTGTTAGGATTTCCACCAAAATTGTTATAAGTCGCCCATAAAGAATTGCTCACAGTCGCCGAATCTCATTTTGTAGAGCAATGTTTATGTTTGTCCATAAAAACTCAACTGTGGAAACAGATTTGAAGTTATTTCTAGCAGAAATGCCAGCATTCTAGGATGCACTAAAGCCAGAAAAAAGACTGTACGAACAGGGTTCTTTTCTGTATTTAGTGTATTTTAGAATGCTCACATTTGTATCACAGGTAACATCAAAAATTTCTGCTTACATGGAATTGTAATTTAAACATCTCGCTACAAAATTAGGTTTCACGACTCTGAGCAATTCTTTATGAGCGACTTCTAACAGTTTTCGTGGAAGCCCGAACATCAGTTTTTAACTGGTGCATATCTACGCAAGAGTCTCGGTACTGAGAGTAAGTAGATTAAAATAAAACAGATGAAAATTGATATTGACAACCCTTGCGGGTGTCAGTAAGGAGATCATCCGATATTTAAGCAACTCAATCGGTGGAGATCACTTATAGTCTACCACAACGTTAAACTTCTTTGAATTCACCTGCTTGGTATAAATCCGAGCTAGTTTTGAACTTATTCTGTTATTGGAAAAAACTTTCGTCCACTTTTCAGGAAACGTCACACTTCAAACTAAAGAAAATAGATATTTGAGAAATTTCTTTTATCAAAATATAGAACATAAACTGTCTATCAAATGGTATGTAAGCCAGTCTTTTAACACCAGCATAAAATGAGAAAAAGATTGACAATAAACTTTTGAATCATGGAAAAAAAATGTTTTGCTT